TAATTAGCTCTAATGTAAGAACATTTAGAGCCATTTTATATGCAATGTGTGGACGTCTTTATTTAGCCATCCAATTACCAGTTCTTGCTAATATATTTATTGAGATTTGATCATGATCCAGTTGTTTACTGTTGTAGCTATATGAATTTGGGTACCAAAGACTGAGCAGGGAACGAAGTTGGACTCAAGAAATTTTCCCATCCAAATTATCAAAAGTTCCCCTACCTGCTAGCAAGGTGATTTTTTTTCCCACTAACTTGTGATTGAAGTTTGTATTATGTCGTATTTGTATTATTTATGCAGTAGTTAATTTTAAGTGTGATGTACCGATTATGTGAATATTTCTGTTAGACTGTTAGCACCGTCTTAGATTGCCATTTATTTGGTGAATGTATAGGTTTGGCATTCTGATGGTTCAAATTCGAGTTCAAATTTGGACAAGTTATGGAGACCTCCACCAAACAAAAACTATGTTCCTTGTGTTGCGCCAAGCTCATTGTACACACGTGAGGATCTGTTTTTTGCCTGATTAAAACATGGAACCTGATTTTCATCTTCTGTTTTAAATTTTATTGAAATATATAATGTATTTTTTCTATTTTTTCATTTCTATATAATTTGATCTTCAGCTCCTCGAGAGTCCCAGGGCTACCTGATGGTTCATACTAATGGTGGACTTAATCAGATGAGAGCCGGGGTTTGTGATTTCATGCCCTCTCTCTTTTTCATTTAAGTCCATGCGACCATGCTATTATATTTGATCATTGATGCCAGTTTTATCTTTACTTTTTTCAATTTGATTGGTACTCAATGTTCACAATTTGTTGCATGCAGATATGTGATATGGTTGCTGTTGCCCGTATTATAAATGCTACTCTTGTAATTCCGGAGCTTGATAAACGATCGTTTTGGCTGGATTCTAGGTTTTCTATGTTCCTGAACATATCACTTAATGTCTTCTTTTGTTGGGGATTAGATGGATGCGGGGGTGAGGGATATTTTCTTTAACTAGTTTATCTCTATTTGTTTATGAGACTAGAAAATAACTACCTATAAATGGTACGGGGTATATGTCTAGTTATATCATATAATTATATATCAATTTTCATCTTCTTTTTATTTTCAAGTATCTAAAAGTAAAAATTCATCAATAGAATTAATATCACTCTTCCCTTTCCTCACCTCCGGATTCCCCAAACCTAACAAGGGCTTATTTTTTAAATGGGCTTCTTTTAACTTCTCCACTTCTTGCTCGCAGCAATTTTTCTGATGTCTTTGATGAAGACCATTTCATCAATTCTTTGGCAAATGACGTAACAATAATAAAAAAGCTACCTGCACAACTGGCAAGTGCAACTAGAGCTGTTAAGCATTTCAGGAGTTGGTCAGGTATGGATTATTATGAAGAAGAAATAGGCAGCATGTGGAAGGACTATAAGGTCATTCGGGCAGCTAAGTCTGATTCAAGGTTAGCTAACAATAATCTGCCAGCTGACATTCAAAAGTTGAGGTGCCGAGCTTGTTACCAATCCCTTCGTTTCGCTCCTCATATTGAGGCAATGGGAAAGGTGACCTATTTTACTGTTACTTTTGTTAATTGGCTTTTTCAAGTGTGCCATGGTCATTAATTATTTCAGTTCTATATGCAGTTGTTGGTGGATCGAATGAGATCATATGGTCCTTATATTGCTTTGCATTTGAGATATGAAAAAGACATGCTTGCCTTTAGTGGATGTACCCATGATTTATCCCCAGAAGAAGCTGAGGAATTAAAGGGAATCAGGTTGGTGTATAATGAATGTAATTGAGGGTCAGGATTTTTATCTATTCAATTATGATCTCTCTCCATCTCAAAAAGCTGTGTTTCAACATTTATATATATATATATATATATATATATATATAGGGAGCGGTTCCGGTAAGAACAGATCTTAGGAAAAAAATGAGAACGAATCTGGACCGTTGAATTGTATTATGTGGAACCAAATTGTGCATTTGGTGAAACTGAAATATGCATTAAATGATATTGAAATGTGCAAAATAAAAATTTAAACTCAAGTGTGCATTAGATGAAACTGATATGTGCGAAAAAAAAGTACAAAAATAACATCACATCGTACTTTTTATTCTGCACATTTCAGCTTCACCTAGTGCACATTTCAATTTCACATAATGCACAATTCAACTGCACATAATGTCACTCTATCGTACCCTTTGTGATGCACATTTCAATTTCATCTAATGCACATTCCAGTTTCATCTAATGCACACTGAATTTCACTTGAAGCAAATCTAACGGTCCAGATTCGTTCTCATTTCTCTAATAAGATCGTGTTCTTATTTGAACCAAAACCTATATATATATATATATAAGGAAAGAGTTTTTTACAAGAATATTACTAAAATAAAACTTATTTACATAAATATGACTATTCATTACTAGAATGTAGTGTTGTGGTAACTTAAGTTCAAAACTTGAACATGAATTACTATGATTTCATTACTACTTTAGTAACTAGTCATATTTTTGTAAACCATCTTTATTTTGTTCATATTTATGTAATTATTTCTTAAGGAAAAGTAACTTTAAACAATACTATCTATCGTAAACCAATAATAATATGTACTGAGAAGTAATTTTTAATAATACAAACTATGTAAATGTACAAGAAAAATAGTTTTGAATCTCTTTTTGACTATCAGTCCAATCATTTGTCACATCAAAAATGATATCCAACAATCAAATAATAGTTATCTCGAAATGGGGTCACATATTCGACATTTTGATATACTTTTTTATTGATTAAATGGACGGGTTTCTAGTGGGAAATTAGTTATAATATCACCTTTGTTATATCTTTCCATCATTTGCAATGGAGCCAAAGACTCACTATTTTTTTGATTGGGAAAATGATGGAATAAAGCAACATGGCTCACTAAACTGTCTGCGCTTCTTTGCTATGAAGCAGCAGTTAGTCCATGCAATTTTAGACGCGATTTTCACTATGGGTCATCTGGAAACAGTCTCTCCCTGCTTTAGTACAGGGGTAGGACTACGTACATCCGACCCCCCTACCCCACCGTAGGTGGGAGCCTTTGCAGCACTGGGGTAATGAAATGATGATCACTTTTGTTATATATTCAAATAGTTCGTATTATTAAAAATCATTTCCAAAGTACGTATTATTATTGATTTATGGGTTATAGTTTGTATTATTTCAAGTTATTATTGCTTTTATGAATATATAATACTTCATATATAATTTTACATTTCTCCATCTCAGAAGTTTTTATTTAGAATATACTACGTATAATTTTATTTTCTTTTATTCAGGGAGAACACAACGTGGTGGAAAGTGAAAGACATTGACCCTGAAGAACACAGAGCCAAAGGCTATTGCCCATTAACCCCAAAGGAGGTTGGTATGTTCCTTTCAGCTCTGGGATTTCCATCAACAACTCCCATATACATTGCTGCCGGGGAGATATATGGGGGTGAATCCTGCATGGCTGATCTACGCTCACGCTTTCCCTTAATAATGAATAAGGAGAAGTTGGCATCGCTTGCAGAGCTTGAACCATTTGTGAACCATGCGTCTCAGATGGCTGCAGTTGACTACATAGTTTCAGTTGAGAGTGACATATTTGTCCCTTCCTACTCTGGTAATATGGCAAGGGCAGTCGAAGGTCATCGTCGATTCCTAGGACATAGAAAAACTATTTCTCCCGATAGGTAAGTTCCTTTTTTGTTTTCTTTTGTTTACCAAGATTTTCCATTTTATAGTGTTCAATTATTTTCCAGGAAAGTACTTGTCCGTCTTTTTGACAAAGTTCAGATGGGGAATATGAAAGAAGGCAGAAATCTTTCTGAACGTGTCATTGAAATCCACAAAAGAAGGTATTTAATTAGATGTGAAGTTTATATAATATGGAGTATATAAATTGCAATGTATTCATGAGTTGTGAAAATGGTGGTTGGGTTGGATTCAGGCAAGGGTCACCAAGGAAGAGAAAGGGGCCGATATCGGGAACAAAGGGAATGGATAGGTTCCGTTCGGAGGAGGCCTTTTATGTGAATCCTCTACCAGACTGTCTTTGTCTGAAGGAGCCACAGCCAACACATACAAACTACTCCCATACTACTCTAACACAATAGTTGAGACTCGAAAATCTGTGTATATTTCCTTTCTTAACTCGGAGCATATATAGATATATACTGGGGACATATACTGGGGTCATTCTAAATTATATCAGAGCGGTTGGCAAGCAGTAGTTTTGATGGAGACTTGGTCTGCAAGAAGATGACGTGTACATAGGAAAAGAGATGCGCAGTTGTTATGATCAGGTTGTTCTTCTTGGGGTCTAGCCTATGGCACTGATTGTACATTTGTACATACTTGAACAACATATATTCACCCGACAGCAGCAATGTACATTTATCAAACTGCTTTTTGTTACTTCTTTCTTTTGGCAGTGTTTATTGCTTTTTTGGCCATATTTTGAACAGATTTATAGAAAAACAGTTGTTGTATAGACTTGGTCCAAATATATGTATTTACATCCTTTTTCTAGCTTGTTTCTGTTTATACTTAAATTATATTACTGATTCTGCAATTCTCATGGTGCTTATCAAGTTATCAGTGTGTTCATGAACATATCCTCAAATTTAACATATCCAGATGAATTGGAATCTGCACAGCCACATAGTAGTTGGAAGTTGGAACATGGAGATGAAACCATCACAACATCAAATAGTTTTGAACTGGTCGAATTCTGAACCGGTCCAATTCTGATGGGCATTTGTTTGCTCTTCCCTATTTTTCCAGTACCAAAACACCCTGAACTTCTAATTATGAAATACCAAAGAGGTTCTAGTCTTCTAGAAAGATTTGAACATAATTGTTTGGGAGGCAAAACCACCAAATCAAACCTGCTGCTACTGCTACTAAAGATAATAATGGCAAAGACCAAAGATCCTACGGAGTATAAAGCAACAAGTGGAAGAATGTAAACACCCAAATAAAGGACTAGGTACTGAGCTCCTTCAATGTAGCATAACTGGAAGAATGTACACACAACACTAAACAACTACGTAATGAGGAGTGAGGACTGCATCTCACCCAAAATTTTCCATAAAAAGAATTGTAATAATAGTAGTAAAATGGTAAAGGCGTCAAAATATAATGAGGAAATTGGCACTCCCCATGTAAGGACATCAACAAAAATACTCAATACAGATCTGTTCTTTTTTCCTAAATTATGCTGATCCAACTGGTATTCAAATATCTCAAATCCAACTCCCTACTTCATTCTAGGTGTGATTACATGACGGCCACCCATGAAAGGATGTAAGGGGTCTGGAATAATAACAGAGCCATCTTCTTGCTGATAATTCTCAAGCAAGCAAACAATCATGCGAGGAACTGCACACGCTGTGGCATTAAGCGTGTGAACGAATTGCGGGGGAGCCATACTTTTCCCCTTCTTTGAACTAGTAACTGATGATGACAACAATTCTGGGCGATACCTTATTCCCAGTCTTCTGCTCTGATAGTCAGTACAATTTGATGCACTTGATATCTGTTCAAGATCATAACAAAAAAATTCTATACTCAGGTGCATATTTTGCACCAACCTTTTACTCATATTCTACATTTTCTTTCCCAAGTAAACAATTCAATTCATTCCAGTTCGAAACCACCGGAGCAGGTGTTGCATAAACATGGCTGTGAATTGGTGGGGCATATGTGTTCTATACAGCATAGAATACCTGGATCTAATGCCTAGACGGGACCCAAATAAGAAAATCACCAGAGGAAGTCAAGCGAAGCTTAACAGCTAGGTAGGGCCTACTGGCCTAGGGATAGTACCTTGACAGGAATCCACAGGATCCATTATATAACTGTATGAAACCAAACTAACTATAGTGGAGAAATATTTACTGTGCAGAAAATACTCATCAACTTTGTAAGGATACAGTTTCTACTTTCTATGTATCCGCACATTAATCCATTACTATCTCCTTAATAATTAGTCATAGGTAACTGCAGCATTAGCCAATCTGTACCAATATATATTTCTATAAAGATGATAAATGATTAAATGGTTATCATTAGGGGAACTACTTCTATGGGGTGGGAAAGGTTTGGGGCATAGCTGTCTTATTTTCACCTCTACTAGGTGAAGTCAGGGAGTTGAAGAACAATGACACATACACAACTTTATGCAATTGGCAATATACTCCGTTTTATGACTGCACATCCATGCCTCAATGAAATACAATTGTAACTTACCTCGCCGTAGCGGTCCAGACCAGGCATCCATGCCTCTACATCAAATTTACGATAAGCGGGTGCACCTAAATCCTCTGATGCCATCTCCATTGTTCTGCAACGAAAAGTTTTACAAGGTTGAAACATCATAGGAGATGTCTTTCTTGATAACACCTTTTTTAGTACTATCTACGTCCCATTTTATGTGTCTTGTTTTGAATTGGCACAACTATTAATAAAGTGGTAGAAAAAGTAAAAGTCGTGGTTGGGATTTGAGTATAATAAGTTAAATGATGTGGACCACATATTTCATTCCAAAAAATGAAATGTGACACTAATTTTGGGACAACCCAAAAAGAAAAGTAAGACAGATAAAATGGGTTGGAGGGAGTAACTAATTGTACATACAATAAGAAGGAACTGCGATGATAAGTACCTAAAATGAAGTCCCAAAGACCTGAAAAGCTCTTCTTCAATCTCAATAAGCTCTTCGTGATAAGCATCACTTTCCTCTGGACGGCACAATATGAACATTTCCACCTTGCTGAACTGGTGTACTCGATAAAGACCCCTGCTCAAAGAACATACATTATGCACTTGAAGTCAGTTTAATTGTAGGAAATATTTACGTATTCCAATATTATTTAAATTTAACCCCAAAGAATAAATAACCACATCTCAAGAGTTTACAAAACTATAGAGAGAAAGATAAGTGCTCTTTTGGTAAGGGTGGTTCAGCTGAAATTGCCGAATCTGTTGAATTTTCAAAAAGAAAAAGCATTTGGCAAAACTGGTCTCGGTTAAATAAGTAACTCAAAAGCTACTTGTTATGTTCTGCCAAATAAGCAAAGTCAAATAATGCAGCCAAATGGAGCCACAATATTATTGATTATACTGTTAAGAAAAAGGTTAGTTACCTGGTCGCAGTGCCAGCAGCACCAGCCTCTGTGCGGAAACAATGGGAGAACGCTACATACTTCAGTGGCAATGATGAGTCAGGAAGTATGGAATCCATATGGATTCCCCCCACTGGAATCTCAGCTGTGCCAATGAGGCATTGATCACTGTTCTCAATGGAGTAAACCTGCATGCGTTTTGCAAGGAATATAATGACGATTTCAATCACCAGTGGACCAATTTAGTAATTAGCTTTGAAAAAACAAAGGTGAAATGAAGATGTTTATGGCTACATTTTTTACAAACCTGAGTGGTAGTTCCACGAGGCTGGAAGCCACACTTTTCAATAAGAGAAGACCTGACAATTTCTGGGGTAGTCAGTGGCACAAAGCCTCTTTTCATTACTTCTGAGAGAGTCCAATTCACGAGACCCATTTCTAACATAACTGCTTCATTCTTTAAGTAATAAAACTTTGAGCCACTGACCTATTACAATCAAACAAAACATTATCTAGTGTTAAGTAAATACCCCACTATTCATTTTAATCTCCTCACTTTCCTTTTTTGGTTCGTCCTGAACTAAACTTCTTGTTTCTCTTTTAGGGAAAAATGTGTGGTTGATATTGATTTTTTTCCTTTTCTAAATAAATTTCAATACAAGGTTTCATTTTCTTAAATTTCGTGTGATGTCAAAGTAGGAAGATTAAAATAGGGAAGGGATTATGTTTTAGTGTGAATTTACATTTTCAGTCATTTTCATTCCATTACACTTAAGTTCTTACTGCATGTCTATTGTCTAGTCCTTTGTTCTTACTACATCTTACCAAACTGCACCTTTGTTCGCGCTACATGACCACATGTGTCAGGAAAAAATGTAGAAAAAAAATGGCAGAAAATTACAAAATACCTCAGCAGCTGCATCAAAATCAAACAAATCCAATTCCTTGCCGAGTTGGACATGGTCCTTCACAGGGAAACCAAACTCACGCGGTTTAGAAACCTATACAAAAAAATTAATTGATATGAAGATAAAAAAAATGATCATTTCCATAAATATGCAAGAAACTTGTACTCCTAGGTTCAGATAAAGCACCATTTTCCGAACAGTTGAAGAATCCTCTCCTCCTATCGGGACATCTGGATGTGTCATATTTGGTATAGAATGGGCTTCTTGATGAAGCTCGTCTGAGAGCTTGGTGAGGTTTTCTTCCAGATTAACAAGCGCATCCTTCAAATTTTTACCTTTAAAAAATTACAAGTAGAAAAGGCTAAAGAGTATTACTGATTTACAAGAAAAGGGTTAAAGTTGGACATGCTGTTATATAAACCTTCTTCTATGAGTTTTTGGCGCTCAGTAGGTTCCAGATTTCCTTTCATCTTGTTTGCAACAACATTCCTCTCTGCACGAAGCCTTTCAACTTCCTGCTATCTGTCACTAACAATTAGTTACACTTGAGAAAATAGGTCCAAAACTAGACCTACACGATTAATCAGTTGGAATGAATACAATGCACTGCAATACTATCAACCTAACCTTCTGAGCATCGAGTAAACGCTGGTACAGCTCTAGAACAAGCCCCAAATTCGCACTCGAGTTTCGGTTCCTAATATTCACTGCCACAGAATCCTTGTTCTCCCTAATCCACTTGAAATCTATCGCAGCTTTCCACTGATTCGCAGCTAAGGTCGCCAAAATCCAATCTTTAGTCAAATAGCAAAAAAATTATACAGAAAAAAGGATGATGAAAAATGAAAAAGAATAAACCTTTACTGTCTCTGGATGCGGTAGAAGCTCCGGCGACTGTGGATTGGTCCCCAGCGGCGGAAACAGATAGAGCTCTGAGCAAGAGTGGGACTAGGCGTACGGGCACGGTTTTAGGATGCAGTCTGAATAGGGAGAGAGAAGTGGCGGCAGTGAACTTCAAGGATTTGAAGTTTGATGAGGTGAAGCAATGTTGAAGCGCCATGGATGGTAAGCGTTTGCCCTGTCCTCCCCACCAACCTGCAATGAGAAAAGAGAACAGAATGCGCAAAGGGCTTATCTGCCATTCTAAAACTTTAAAGCAATTAAAAGAAATAACCAATTAAAAAATAATAAGTAGAATATTTCTCTCTTTATTTAAAAGATCTTACATCATTTTGATAAGTTTTTCTTTTCAATGTCAAGCACAATGTTTAGATTAGACATTGTAGTTGACATTGCAGACAAAAACTTAGCCAAAACACATAAGACTGTGGAAAGAAGGAGAGAAAAATGTCATAAAATCAATATTTTGTATCTATCTCTCTCATGGCACATGTGCACCGTGCACATTCTAATATTGGAGATGCTCTTAGGGGAGCTAAAAAAATGGAAGTGTTAGTAATGGAAGGGTTAAAATTGAAGTGTTTACCATAAGTCTAATATACTGCTAAAAAACATGAGATTGCGATTGATTTGCCGGCCATCCTCCAATGGGATATTGGATAATTGTTTTCCTACTATTAGAATTAATGGATATAATAATTATTGTTTTCCTACGCATTGATTTCCAACCATACAAAAAAAGGTGAAGTTAAAACTAAAAAGGACTCTCCAACAAAGATGAAACAGAACGAAAACGACATCCACCAACGGAATAATAATAACAAAAATAATGTTTGTACTCACTCTTATAACCACTTTTGTATTCACTTATGTTTGTGAAGTGTTTTATTTTTGTCTGTGAATGCCGGTTAACGGACAATATTTTGCACAAACAAAATATTGTGTGTGAATCGAATTCACGGACAAAAAAACACTTCACAAACATGGTGGATATAAGGTTGGTATAAGAGTGGATACCAAGCATTGTTGAAATAATAAATGAAAACAAAAGGTAGAGAATTCTAAAAACCAAATCATAAGATCATCAAACACGAGTTAGAAGGAACACCTCGTCAATAACAATATATATTCATATATATTGGTCGGAGAACACATCGAATCTGAATAACAAGTACTGAGTGGATAAATGGAAAAAAGATGAAGAAAATTAGGGGAAAAAAAGGATAAATCTGGACAAGGAGACCAATCTTTGCTGGAGCCGCAGGAGTGAAGGAGTACCGTCTGGCTCTTTGCTGCGGGAAAAATAATAGAGGATGGGAATGGATAGATTTTGGAATAAGGGTAAAAGTCATCCAACATTTCATTACATCCCAATTTGGGGTGTTACAAAAGTGATTAATATAGATGTTAGGAAGGTTATTGTTAACACCTTTAAACACTTAATAACACTTCTAGATTTTTTTTAATTTTTCTCCCAAACAAGTGTTCAATTAAACACTCTTCAACACTTCCATTACTAACACTCGTTAATACTCAATCCAAACAGGCAGTTAGAATTAGACGCTCTTGATGACACCCGATCCTCAGGGCCCCCAACACGACGACACAGTTAGACGGAAGGACGTAAAATTGGACTTTAATTCCAAGTTGACAGATAGAGAATGAGACTCTGACTCTGCTACTTGTAGAGGTCCTGTGCATTTTTAGCATAGTAACCTCTCATCGAGACTTGAGACTTACCCCTTGTGGCACTTCCTATCTACCCAGAGCTATGTTCATCGGTCATTTATTCTTAATTTAAGAATTTAAGGAAACGGAGTATAAGCATGATAAATGTATGTTAGATGTTTTTACTTGGAAGGTTTTCAGTCATAGATCAAACCAGACCAGACTTAAACAGATCAGATCATATCAGACTTAAACAGACCAAACCAGACTTCCGTAGTTATAAAATACAAAGAGATCATACGTTTACCAGACCAGACCAGATTTAAACAGAATAGATCATACCAGACCAGCAAATTACAGCCCAAGTAAAAACATCCTTATACTATCAGCCTATGTTAGCTTCCATAAATATACTAGCAATTCTCAATAGAAAAGAACTATACAATCAGGAAGATGATATATTGTCATTTTATTCATAAAATTTATACGAAGTACTTTGAAGAAATAATAATATGATTGTTACATGTTTAATATCATATACACTCGGCACTAAGATGTGCTAGGTTGACCTGATTATCTATTACGGAGTATAATGTTCCAGTGTCATTACCATGAAGTAGTAAATTTATATGGTATTCACTATTCTTTATTATACCTTTTCCAAATACGGAGTATATGTCGTTTGAGGATCATGTGTATTTAATAAGGCTAAAAAGGTCTAATAAGTACAAGATTTAGTTGCAAAACAGAAGTCTCATACTGAATGTCCATTCTAATTCGTTATATGAAAGTACAAATTTCATATTTCTTCACAACATGTATACTCATTTCGTTCACCTCCATCCATTCTAATATACTCTTCTCAGAAATTAATAGCACAGTTACTTGGTGTATGTAAAGTTTAAAGGCTAGAATGAGATGATGAGAAAATTATAGTAACCACAATAGTCAATATGAACGTGCAGCTTTCTTCAGGGTGATTTACCTAGTGACTTTCGGGGTTTAGCCTCAACTAATATTCAGGCTCTTCCCCAAAATGATTAGGCTCCACCCGTGTACAAGCCGAGTGATCAATGTCATTAATCCTCCGGAAACCGTATATTCCTCTCCATCGGATAAAACTCTTTGGCTTTCCGGTCAAGCCTTAAACAAGAAATTCATACTTGTAATCGATTGACCAGTTGTTGACTTGCTGCCTTTGGGCAAGAATTAACAGTGAATGGTATTTGGTCATATTTCTAAGTTGTTTACTTCTTTGAAGTTTGAATTGTCCCTTTATAAAAGCCTATATTCTGCTTCCATTTTGAAGGACAGCCCAAGAACTGGTGTTGGTTTTTTGAGCACCAACCACATTAAAAATCAATAGGAGGACAGAATGATTTAATAAGGAATTTTGCATTTTTAATTTTTTTGAGCAAGTAGAATTCATATCATCATTATAAATTAATACACATGTCCATATCAAGTGAAAAACTGAAACCAGTGTTGAAGTAAACTCATGCGCATTGATGCCCAATTATGATTCCTTGAACTTAAAATGATCTAAAGAAGCTGCATCTTACAATATGGAGTTTGGTTTTGTATTTTAAAGATTCATTATTGATTAAGATTTATGTTTATGTGCAAGGCTATTAGTTGAATTGGTATAGCAATGTGCACGTTCGCACAGTGGTGTGGGTTCGAATCCCACACATAGCCTAAATAAATGTTTATTGCTTCAACTTCTTTGTAAAGTAATTTGAGTGTACGTTTGACTTGTTTGTTTTGACATACTTTTGAACAAACATCCAATTAAATTGTAGCTAATTAAGTTGAGAATTAATTGTAATACGGAGTAACACTAAAACAAAACTCTATTTTGAACATTTTTGGTGCATTACATTCACTTTGTAACAAGAAACATGTGATTGGCCTATAAATAATCTTTCTTCTTAATACAACAATCTTTTTCTGATACGTCTTTGCTCTTTTTCCTCCTTATCTTCAAAGGTCTTTTCTTTGTCTTATTTGCGGTTTTAGCAGTTGACTTTTATACCTCATTTCAAGACCAACATCCAAAAGAACTTCATTCCCGACCGCACTAACATCATCATTTACTGCCACAAAGTTGTCATTGATCATCTATTGTAATAAAATAAAAAATAGAAATTAAATGTTTTAACTAATAGAGCTGAGCCAAAACCATAACTTCTAAAACTATCTACATAACTTTAAACTCACATTAATTAAATGTTTTAATTAATTTTGCATTTTTAATTTTTTTGAGCAAGTAGAATTCATATCATCATTATAAATTAATACACATGTCCATATCAAGTGAAAAACTGAAACCAGTGTTGAAGTAAACTCATGCGCATTGATGCCCAATTATGATTCCTTGAACTTAAAATGATCCAAAGAAGCTGCAGCTTACAATCTGGAGTTTGGTTTTGTATTTTAAAGATTCATTATTGATTAAGATTTATGTTTATGTGCAAGGAATAGAAATCAAAGAGCATCCAGGAGGAAGTGAACAGCTGCTGTTGCTTTCAAGCATCATCAAGTGCAAGAAGACCAGGAAGTAATTTCCCCTCGAGCAGCTCCAGACTAGCACCACCTCCTGTCGAGATATGGCTCATTTTTTCTGCCAACCCGACCTTCTCAACTGCTGCAACTGAGTCTCCGCCTCCAATAATTGTTGTCACTCCATTCCCGCTAAGCTCTGCCAATTTCTTTGCTATTGCCTCCGTGCCAGCAGCAAACTTCTCGAACTCAAAAACACCCATTGGCCCATTCCATATGATTGTTTGGGTGGTATCCAAAGCTTCACCAAATGTCTTGATTGTGTCTGGTCCCACATCTAACCCCATCCACCCCTCTGGAATTTCAGTTGCGCTAACCACCTGAGATTAATTCCAACCCTTATCATTATCACATTTACTAATTACTTAATAACCCTGTTTATTTACACCTAAAACTTCTTAAAACGAATATGTATTAGGCCATGTTCGGGTTTTTTACCTTGGAATTTGATTAAAACTCTTCAAAAACCTCACATGTATTTAAATTGCTTGGTCTTTATACAAGTATACAACAGGTATAAAATAACATACTCCGTATAAATATACTGAGTTTGCAAAATATTTAAATCAAGTGCCTAACTGAGTTTGAACCCCCAAAAAATCAAAACTATTTTCCATAGTTTTTCTTTCCGCTTTTCATTTTCTTCCAGATTATTTCCATAGAAATTTTCAAACACAAACGGGTTGTAGAATAAAGGGAGAAGTGAGTGAAACCTTGCTGTTGGCATCGGCAGAAAACTTGTCTGCAACCACAACATCAGTAGGAAGCAGTAATGAGACTCCCTTAGACTTGGCCTTCTCGATGAGGGATTTGGCTAGCTCAAGCTTGTCTTCCTCCAGGAGCGAGGATCCAACTTTGTATCCTTGAGCCTTGTAGAAAGTAAAAATCATCCCTCCACCCAGCAATAGCAAGTCAACCTTTTCCAGCAGGGACTCAATCACAGCAATTTTGGTGGATACTTTTGAACCTCCAACAATGGCAGCAAATGGCTTCTTTGGGCTACTCACAGCTCCAACTAAATAGTCAAGCTCCTGAGGGGAGGCAACAGAAAAAATGAAAGGAATATTTTTCAGTGGCTCATAAAATAACATATGACAATATCTGCAAGGTTGTAGTTATTAAATTAGTTCTAGCTCACTCAAAATTGGATAGTTCAATACAAACCAGGCTTAGCAACTTGAGGAATGGTATATGAGTCAAACATACCATATTAAATCAGTTTTAAATCAGCGCAAAATGATTTTGAAGAGGTAAGATTTACAATATGCTTTTATGTTAGCCACAAATCTAGTAAGCACCCTATGGGGAACACTTAAAAGTGGCAATTGCAGTAATATCCTCCAATATCAATTCCCCAAAATACCACCACCCCCGCCCACCATTGAAATGCTTATCCTCCATTGAAATGCTTATACCTTCTGCATAAGGAATCCAGCTACAGCTGGTTTCAAGTACTTGGCCACTCCCTCTGTGGATGCATGAGCTCTGTGGGCAGTTCCAAATGCATCATTAACATACAAATCCGCAAGGGCAGCAAGCTTCTTTGCAAACTCGGGATCATTCTTCTCTTCCTCTTTGTAGAACCTCACATTCTCCAAAAGCAACACACCACCCTCTGGAATTTCAGAAACCAATTTCTCGACTTCCTCACCAATACAGTCATTTGCCATCTTGACCTATTGTTAAGCCATAAAAAAGATGTCTTTTTAGGGGGGGGGGGGGGGGGGGGGGGAGAAATGTGGAGGGGAAATATGGAAGGCAGTGAGACTAAAAAACTAACCTCAATGCCAAGGAGTTCAGATAATCTAGGGACAAGAGGCTTCAAGCTATACTTTGGTGTGACCCCTTTTGGACGGCCCTACAACCAATAATCAACTTATTAGAGCAAAGGGCAGCACAGTTCACTCATTCCAAGTACTAAATCTGGGGATATCTTAACAAGTGGTGGTTAGAAAGAGCAGGTTAATGCAGATCAAAGCTTTAATCAAACACAGTTAAATAAATACCGAGTACATAAAAGAAATAGGAGAGGTACAGGTACCAGGTAATCAGGTATGTGCAGAGTGATTTAACAGTGTTTGAACCGAAGGAAGTGAAAATTATCAACATGATGAAAGATTTGAACTTGTGTGGCTTATTCTAATTCACATATAGATTTACTTTTAGTATAGTTTAAAAAAAACAGTCTTCAGTAATCAAATCATGCATCCACCCAATTGACACAACCAATTGAAGCTACCGAAAATCATAACAAAAGCAGAAGATGAAATTGAAATGTGACTGACCAGATGACTGGATAAGATCACTTTGGCCCCATTAGAAATCAAGTGTTTAATTGTTGGCACGGCAGCTCTAACCCTAGTGTCATCAGTGATGTTCTGGTTTTCATCGAGAGGAACATTCAAATCAACCCGCACGAAGACCTTTTTACCCTTCAACTCATCGGCATTGAGGTCACCGACGCTTTTCTTAGCCATAGAATAAATGACTCCCCTGGCTGGCTTGGCGGATGTATTGAGGGATCGGAGCTTGGTGGAGACACAGTGTGAGAATAGCGAGTCCGAAGTGGCTGCTGCGAATCCGAGGCGGAGGCGACGCGTTGGTGCATTGAGGAAGATGGTGTTGGTTGCAGGTGCCCTCCTGCCGGAAGAGGAAGAAGCAGAAGATGAGGAGGCGGAAGGAATGCCGCAGAGAATGTAGGAAGCAGATGCAGCCATTGTTTGTGGTGTTGTTGTGCTTTTGAATTGACAGAGAAATGGTGTACGAACGGACATGAAGAAGAATGAGGGAGGACTGTGGAGTGATCCGCGTGAGTGGATTAGAGAAGATGACTAACTTTTTCTTATCCCGTCCGACTGAACGAAGGAGCTAAGTAGACAGTACTACGTATACTCTATACACTACAGGTTACAATTTACAGTTTACACCACTCAAAAACAGAAAAATGGTGAATATTATGCAGTGTAGATAATACTCCTTATAATTCTTTTGATTTTTTTACCAAAATAATTCTTTTGATTTAAATAAGAGTGTGCTTCGTAGGTTTTATAAAACATTATATTTCTATTTTAAATATAATTAATTATTATAATTAATTACTTCTAAGTTCCCTTGCACAACTAAGGCCAATTCGTTCATGACAGGGTGGTCTAGGCACAGCGGCGGTCTAGTGGTGGCTGAATTCTAGCGACCGACTATGATAACGACGGTGACAATCTAGTGGCGTCCGAATTTTGGAGATTGGTGGCGGCGGAGTTTTGGCAGTGGCATCGGTCAGTAGGCAGTGTCAAGCCCCAACTCTGCCTTTTTAGAATTCCCAATCACAAAAAGACTCCTATTTAGAAAATTTTAAACATGTCTTTCTAGTTCTGCCTTTTTAATGCTCTCTCCGTCCCCAAATGAAGTTTCTGATTTGACATACACACATATTTATGTAAGATAGCATTTTGTTTTGACTTTCCAAGGTATATCCTTGTTTTATGTCAAATTAAGCAAAAAGCGAGCAAATGTAAGGGTAATTGTGATTTTTTGGTTAAAAGTTATGAGAACTTCTTTTTGGGACATTTATAAAAGGAAAGTAAAAACTTCTTTTCTGGACAGAGGTAGTATGTTTTACTCTGAAATTATCTCTTCTTTTAATGATTATTCGTGCGTGTTTGTACTTCTGTAATGCTAAAATCTTGCACATTCAAATTTAGATTTGGCCACATTCAACTGTATTTTGTATTGTCTCTAAAAACTGTAAGCAGGTTGCTTCTCCCACCATATTAAGTTCCTACTTTCATTATAGCTCCCTCCCTTTTGCGAAGAAAAGAAACTCATTTGGTTGGATTTGGACCCAATAGTTCCCTCACAAGGGATATTTTGGGGTATGTGACCAACCAAATGAGCATCAAAGTGATTTAATAACTATACACTCTTCATTTTGTTAAATTTGATCAGATTAACTTGTATGGAGTATATGAAATGATAAAGTAAAAAAGATGTGTTTGAGATTTGTGCAAGCAAGAGTAGTAAAGTAAATCAAATCACATATTTATTACTTTAATTAAGTGGATATGACAAACTTTTGTGAAATAGTACTATCGTAATAAATTTAGTTTTTTTTTAAAGATATTATTAAAATAAAACTTATTTACACAAACATGACTAATAGTTACTAAAATGTAATGTCATGGTAACTTAAGTTTGAAAATTGAACAAAGTATAATGATTTCATTACGACTTTAATCACTTAATCACATTTTTATACACAATCTTTATTCTAGTCATAAATATGTAATTACATAATTTATTTCATGGTAAAGTAAATTTGACATGAAAATGTGAATTTGATGGTCTTGTATTCTTACTCGTTTTAAGAGCTGAAAGACGCTATATTATAACGGAAAAAATTACACATACAATTAAAGAAAACATCACAAAATAATAAACAAGTAAAAATTTCCTAGCAGCAAGGAACATGAGTCTAGTAAGTAATAAAATTTCCAGCTTCTTCATCATTTCCTCCAGCTTGTAGAGTTTCGCTTCTTCACCTGACTCCAACAAAATGCTCTTCAACATCTGGAACACCAATCCACTTATATGTCTACCTCTATCCATCATTTGCTTAGAACACTCCAAAGCCTCTTCAACTCTTCCATGGGAACATAATGCAGTAACCAGAAGGTCCAGGGCATGACTATGTGGACACTGCCCTTTCACTAACAAGTAGTTCCAAAAACTTAGTCCCAAATCAATATTCTGATTCTCGCAGAAAAACTTTATCAACATAACAACGCTCCGCGTCTTAGGCAAGAATCCCCGTTCAGTCATCTTGTTACAGTCCATATATGCCGTGAATATCTTTTAACCTTATGTAACAAGATGTGGAGCTATTGTAAGAAGATACCACGTACTTGCAATTTTGGTTTCAAAACTTTTGGTTTCTAACTTTGGGCCTCAATAAGTTGTGTTATTTAATTTGATTGAAGTATTTGGATTGGGCTTGTGTAATACGGAGTATCCATGTATCCAAATGTACCTAGATTAACGGTATTTCGGTGTATACCAAAAGGTGAGAACATCTGTATCCATTTAAAAAAAGAGGAATTGTACCTACCATTCACTTGATTGGTCCAAATAGGTATATCATTTTTAATTTAGACTTGTTACGGTACACATGGATTATCTTTCTCTAGTTGTGCCAAGCTAGGGAACTATTGTAAGAAGATACTACGTACTTGCAATTTTGGTTTCAAAACTTTTGGTTTCTAACTTCGGGCCTCAATAAGTTGTGTTATTTGATTGAAGTATTTGGATTGGGCTTGTGTAATACGGAGTATCCATGTATCGAAATGTACCTAGATTAACGGTGTTTTGGTGTATACCAAAAGGTGAGAACACCGGTATCCATTTAAAAAATGAGGAACTTTACCTACCATTCACTTGATTGGTCCAAATAGGTATATCATTTTTAATTTAGACTTAAATAATTCAACTGCAACTTTCTGATTGCTCCATGTGGACAGAGGTATGGTACCTTATGGATACCATAGAATCCACCATACCAAAAATATAAGAAATTTGGAGCATGGTTTTAATTAGTATAACATTATGAAAATTGTAAATTTATAATTTTATGAAAGTGTTTTTAACAAAAAAAATCTTATCATTTTTATACTATAAATAATTTCTAATAAAAATATAAGTTGGTCAAAGTTTTAAACATGACTCAGTATTTTGGGATGTACATTATGAAATTTAACACGAATCTGGATTTATTGAACTACAAATTATTTATAATGCTCTCTCGGTCCTACTAAAATTGTTTCATCTTTTTTTAGTCTACTCCATCAAGATTGTCTTATACTCCCTCCGTCCCATAATTATCTTCATTCTTTCCTTTTTGGTCCGTCCCAAATTTATCTCCTCTTTCCCTTTTTAGCAAAGGATTTGTGGTTCACAACCATTCTTACACATTTCTCTCTCCTCTGCACAACTCTCCACCACACATTTCCCACTTTCTTAATCTCCGTGCCCAGTCAAAACCGAAGTTAATTCTGGGACGAAGGGAGTATCAATTTTGGTAAAGTTCGTGTGATTCTAGATCATTCATACTCTATTCTCATTTTATCAATTCAATATCTTACACATAAGTTTTTAGTAGGAGTATCATATCATTAACATTTTTAAAATGACATGGAGCAATAATAATTAATTGAACACAAGAGATTGTATCTTCACTCATTAGTGGGGTATGATAGTATTGACCTTTTTGTGAGAATAATACCAGGCTTAACCCTTAAGGTAGCCCTGGCAGATATATATATATAGACAAAAGAGTTATAATTACATAAAGAGTTCCACAATAATAATAATATTAAAACTACACTATTACACCCCCTCAAGCTGTGCAGGGGAAAGAATGCGCAGATTGTCACGAAGAAGAGTAAAACGTTGTGGAGACAAGCACTTAGTAAAAATATCTGCCAACTGAGCCTGTGTAGGAACATATTTGACACAAAGATCACCATGGGCCACCCGCTTGCGCACAAAATGATAATCAATGTTAATATGCTTACTCCTAGCATGTTGAATAGGATTAACCGAAAGATACGAAGCAGAGACATTATCACAAAATAAGGTAGTAGGTTCCCGAACCGGAAACCCCAACTCAAACAAAACAGCCCGAATATGAAGTGTATCTTGAACAGTTAAAGCCACAGCACGATATTCAGCTTCAGTGGAGGATCTGGAAACTGTGGGTTGCTTCTTGGACTTCCAGGAGATGAGATTCGGTCCTATATATATTAAAAAAAGTCAATGTATTGTTGTGAACATTATTGTTTATTTCCTTATAATTAATTTCTAGTTCAATTAAATTCACTTTCGTGTTAAATTTCATAAAAGTACAATCAAATACTTCGTATTCATTTGTGTGCATCTGGTAACGATTGTATTCATTTTAAAATAATTTTTATATACTAATTGATAGATATATTTTAATTGTTCTTTTATGGATAGATATAGTAGCATTAAATAAATTCAGCTTTATTTTATTTTATTATGGCCCTGAACAGATATTGAGTGTTGGAAATATGATATAAATATTATTATTTTTGGGTTACAATTTTGTGCTCTAAGTAATAATTGTATTAAATATGGAGTGAAGGCTGATAATACATCAAAGAACAATTTACATATTTGGATTTAAATTATAATTAGAATCCATAGTTGTAAAGATTGTAAAGTGATGTATTTTAACAATTAATTTATTTGTTCTATATTAGAGGAAAACAGTCTCATATGAATACTTATAGTCATTTGTGATAAGGAACATTGTTCAAGTATCACATAAGGTGATGTGACATTTTGATTTACACTTATATGTGATTCTGACCGGACGGATTATAAGTGATGTGATTAATTTCGCAATTATAGAGACTGTCTAATTGTGTGAACAATGTAATAGCTGATTGGATTATTAAATTGAATTCAAATTCAAAATGATTATCCTTAATGCTATTGATGGATCTTTACAGTTGATCCGTTTTTCTGCCGTTCAACACTCAGGTTTAATGAGCTTTGATTTCCATGCGTTGCAAAACAATCCACTCGTTTCCTTCTTTATTATTAGCTTCAATAGCATAATTGAGGAGTGGGACTCCATGTTTTAAAAGATATAAATCCTTTACGTAAAAGGAAAAAAGATATATGAGACCCACTCCTTGTTTTATTTTCCTCACTCCACGAACATACGAAGTATACGTACTCTTTGGCATTTCGGCTCTCAGCATAAGAATTATCATTATTTGATATCTTCTTTGAGAGCAAAAGGTTCCATAGCCTCTTTTGAGTTTTCCTATTCTACGGCAAATCGGGCAACGGTCGAAGGTTTCAGTCAAGGTAGCTACGAGTCTGAAACGTGGTAGGATTATCCTGGGAGCGAGCTAGCCAGACCCGTCCGAATAGCTAGCGGGATACGGGGGCTATCTTTCTTCAAGGCCAGTCCGTTTTAACGGACGATCCTGCGATAAGTTTTCTTTTACTTTCTGTTATTTCATTTTAATTTATTCTAATTATTGTTTTTCATTCCTTGCATTTGGTGGTTTGTCTGGTGATTTGATTTAAACTCGGGATTTTTATCTGGTTAAACTCGCTTTTTAATATCAATTTGTCTAACAATCTTGAAGAAAGATATTATTTCTCGAGTTTTGGAAAATCCAAAAATGGCAAACTTGGAAAATGCTGTTTCCGAAAATGTTGTTGAGAATAATGTGAATGAAATCCCTGAAAATAATGTGTCTGTGACTAATTGTGGAGACACACTTGACTATGTTGCTACGGGCTCGCAAAGGGTTGATTTAACTGGAATGCCGGAAAAATTTTCTGGGCATTTTTTCAAGCGTTGGCAACAACGTATGAAAATTTGGTTAATCACCAAGGGCTTGCTCTCGGTAATTATGACGGTGTGTCCCCCCGTTGTTGAATCAGATCCCAAAAGTCTTGAACGCCAAGCTTTATGGCGTGAGAGGGATGAAATTGCAAAAGGCATGATTTTGTTGGGTCTCTCCAACATGTTATTTGATGTCTATTGCACCCTCCACGGCACGGCTAAGGACCTTTGGGATGAGTTGGATAAGAAATATAATACTGAGGACCACGGTCTTGAAAAGTATATTGTTTCTAAATTCCTACGATTTGACATGAAAGAAGGTAAATCGGTGTTAGAACAGACACAAGAATTTGAGCTTATCTTACATTCTCTTCGTGAAGCGGATATGGAATTGCCTGAAAAATTTAAAGTGATGGCGGTCATAGAAAAATTTCCCAAATCATGGGAAGATTTTGGTATGACTTTAAAACATAAAATGAAAAAGATCACTTGGAAATCTTTGATGCATTCCATTACTGTTGAGGAGGAACATAAGAAAGCGGGTTATATTGCGCCTGTTGAATTTCAACCGAAGGCTCATGTTATAACTGGGGGAAAGCAAGCACATAATTCTAAAAATAAACAATCACCATCTTTTACACCCATAAAGGCCAAATTAAAAATTGCAAAGAAACCAAAGGCAAACCGACCATGCTGGAACTGTGGACAGATGGGGCATTGGGCCAAATTATGTCCAAATAAAAAGGCCAAGGCTCAATCTGGGGGACCTCAAGTCAACATGGTGACTGGAGGGACTAGTTCTAATGGGTACGTTTCTATTAATCCTCAAATTTTCACTATTTATAATTCCAATGAGTGGCTAATAGATACGGGAGCGAATGTGCATGTATGTGCTGATAAATCGCTCTTTGTTTCTTATCAGCCTGCGGTTGGAAGAACAGTGATGATGGGGAACACAAGTGCTGCAAGTGTGCAAGGAATTGGAAAAGTAGAAATTAAATTTCCTTCGGGAAAAATTCTATCTTTGCATGGGGTGCATCACGTTCCCGAAATTAGAAGGAACATTGTTAGTGGTTCCATTCTTGTTAAGGAGGGTTATGAGCTATCTTTTAAATTAAATAAAGTTGTAATTTTATTTGGCGGAACTTTTATTGGCAAGGGTTACTTGTCGGATGGACTTTTTAAGATTGTGGTTGATTATTTTGAATTAAATTATGTAGCTGAGAATTGTGATTCTTCTTGTTTATGGCATTGTCGTTTGGGTCACGTTAATTTAGATTCTGTAAAAAGAATGATGAATTTAAATTTAATCCCTAAACACTCTATTGATAAAACTAAGAAATGTTTGGTATGTGCTACTACTAAACAAGTAAGAAAACCTTATCATTCAATTGATAGAAATTCAGAATTACTTGATTTAATTCATACCGACATTTGTGAGTTTAATGGAGTGCTTACTCGTGACCAAAAGAAATACTTTATCACTTTTATTGATGATTATTCTAAATATTGCTATGTGTATCTACTTAAGGGTAAAGATGAAGCTCTTGAAAAATTCTTAATTTTTAAGAATGAAATAGAGAATCAAACTGGCAAGAAAATTAAAAGGTTAAGATCTGATAGGGGAGGAGAGTATACTTCTAATTTAGTTGTACTAGAATGCCAAAAATATGGTATAGTACATGAGGAAACACCTCCTTATTCACCACAATCAAATGGAGTAGCTGAACGGAAAAATAGAACTTTTAAAGATATGATTAACAGTTTATTAGAGAACTCTGGATTACCTAAGTTTATGTGGGGGGAAGCCTTGAATACGGCATGCCATATTCTGAATAGGATTCCTATGAAACATAAAGATAAGTGTCCATTTGAACTCTTGACGGGCAGAAAACCAAGTTTGAAATATTTTAAAGTGTGGGGCTGTCTTGCAAAAGTATTAGTCCCTGAACACAAAAGAAAGAAACTTGGGCCTAAAACTGTTGATGCTATTTTTATTGGATATGTTGAACATTCTTATGCATTGAGATTTTTGGTTATTAAATCTGAAATTTCCGGCATAGATGTTAACACTATTGTAGAGCTTCGTGATGCTACTTTCTTTGAAGATGTTTTTCCAATGAAAACAGGTGTGCCCCAAAATACTTCTTTTAAAAATCAAGAAACCACATTTAATTCAATTCCTGATCAAGTGGAAAAGATGACAAATGTGGGGGTAGAATCTGGTAGTTCTAGTCATATTGATTTTGAATCAAATGATATAGATGAGCCTAGAAGAAGCAAACGAGCTAGGATCACTAAAGATTTTGGAAGTGATTTTATCACTTACAATATTGAGGGTGATCCAATTTCCTTTAGAGATGCAATGGCCACGTCTGAGGCCATGTATTGGAAGGATGCCATTAAAAGTGAAATGGACTCTATTGTTCAAAACGGAACATGGGAGCTCGTTGACCTTCCTCCTGGTTGTACCACTATTGGATGTAAATGGATTTTTAAAAAGAAGTTAAAACCAGATGGAACCATTGATAAATATAAGGCAAGATTAGTTGCTAAGGGTTACAAACAAAAAGAAGGTATTGATTTTTTCGATACATATGCTCCGGTTGCAAGAATGACCACAATAAGAATGCTTATAGCAGTGGCATCCGTATATGGTCTTAAAATTCATCAAATGGATGTTAAGACAGCTTTTCTTCATGGTGACCTTGAAGAAGAAATTTATATGGATCAGCCTGAGGGATTTGTGGCAAAAGGCAATGAGAGAAAAGTTTGTAAACTAGTTAAGTCTTTATATGGACTTAAGCAAGCCCCTAAGCAATGGAACGAAAAATTTGATAAAATAATTTCTTCGTTTGGATTTACTCTTATAGATGCTGATCAAAGTGTTTATTATAAATGTAAAGGTGATGTAAGTATTATTTTATGCCTATATGTTGATGATATATTATTATTTGGCACTAATGATAATATTATTTTTGAGACTAAGTCATTTTTGAAAACAAAGTTTGAAATGAAGGATATGGGGGTGGCGGAAGTAATTCTTGGGCTAAAGTTGAATAGATCAACTGAAGGCATTTCTATTTCCCAGTCTCATTACATTGAAAAATTAATTGAGAAATTTGGATTTAAAAATAGTAGAATTGCTAAAACACCCTATGATCCTTCTGTAGCTTTGTATAAAAATGAAAGTGGTGTTCCTGTGTCTCAATTAAAATATTCTCAGATGATTGGTAGCTTGGGTTACTTAGCTAACTGTACTAGACCTGATATTGCATTTTCAGTGTCTAAACTTAGTCGGTACACTTGCTGTCCAAACAGAACTCATTGGGAGGCTTTAGATAGAGTATTCAGATACTTGAAAGGAACTATTTCCTTGGGTTTGCATTATGGTAAATATCCGCCTGTTCTTGAAGGATATAGTGATGCAAGCTGGATAGCTAAAAACTCCGGGAGTTATGGGTGTACCGGGTATGTGTTTACGTTTGGTGGTGGGGCTGTTGCTTGGAAGTCCACTAAACAAACTGTACTTTCTCGGTCTACTTTTGAGGCTGAGTTATGTGCGTTGGATACTACAGGAATTATGGCTGAATGGTTTAAGGGACTAATGTCCAAGTTACCTATATTCAGCAAGCCAATTCCACCTATTTGTTTGCATTGTGATAGCATGAGTACAATTGCAAAAATTAGGAGTACCAAGTATAATCAAAAGACTAGGAGACACATTCAAGTTAGATTAAAAACTATAAGGAGATTTGTGTCTCAAAGGGTGTTTGCTATTGATTTTGTTGGATCCAAAGATAATACAGCGGACCCGTTAACAAAAGGACTTGATTTAAATCAAGTGATAAAATCGAGGTTAGGAATGGGACTGAAACCCAATAATTATTCATCTACGGTAGCAACCCAACCTATCTGAATGGAGATCCCATAAAATAGGTTCAATGTGGTATAAACAAACCGTAGAGTGAATTGTGCATCTCATTAAAATAATTTTATGAGTTCCATTCCTTGAAAAGCCTTAGAGATGCTGAAATTGCTAAGTTAGTAAGAGTTAAAGACTCTGAATGGGATCGAGCTTTAAAAGCAAAGTGTTAGCAATGCACTCTTGGAGATGCCCAACTATGAGAATGTTATTGTGTGGCCGCAATAAGAGAAAAAAGGTTAATTCTCGATGACATTCTTGAGACAGGATCAGGACGCACGGCCGTAAAGCGTCACCCCTATAGATCGTTGCCATTGCCGTTAGTGTGTTGCTTTTATCCCACGCCAACACAATCAAGGTTCGAGTTCAAGAACTCTGTTCACTCAGTTCCTGTGGGGGTTAGGGGTAAGAGCTTAGAATTTGGTTCAAACCGGAAGGTACCATATTCGAAAGCACACTATGTCTTCTAGAGTTGAGTCTACAACTATGGATTTGTGGGGGATTGTTGGAAATATGATATAAATATTATTATTTTTGGGTTACAATTTTGTGCTCTAAGTAATAATTGTATTAAATATGGAGTGAAGGCTGATAATACATCAAAGAACAATTTACATATTTGGATTTAAATTATAATTAGAATCCATAGTTGTAAAGATTGTAAAGTGATGTATTTTAACAATTAATTTATTTGTTCTATATTAGAGGAAAACAGTCTCATATGAATACTTATAGTCATTTGTGATAAGGAACATTGTTCAAGTATCACATAAGGTGATGTGACATTTTGATTTACACTTATATGTGATTCTGACCGGACGGATTATAAGTGATGTGATTAATTTCGCAATTATAGAGACTGTCTAATTGTGTGAACAATGTAATAGCTGATTGGATTATTAAATTGAATTCAAATTCAAAATGATTATCCTTAATGCTATTGATGGATCTTTACAGTTGATCCGTTTTTCTGCCGTTCAACACTCAGGTTTAATGAGCTTTGATTTCCATGCGTTGCAAAACAATCCACTCGTTTCCTTCTTTATTATTAGCTTCAATAGCATAATTGAGGAGTGGGACTCCATGTTTTAAAAGATATAAATCCTTTACGTAAAAGGAAAAAAGATATATGAGACCCACTCCTTGTTTTATTTTCCTCACTCCACGAACATACGAAGTATACGTACTCTTTGGCATTTCGGCTCTCAGCATAAGAATTATCATTATTTGATATCTTCTTTGAGAGCAAAAGGTTCCATAGCCTCTTTTGAGTTTTCCTATTCTACGGCAAATCGGGCAACGGTCGAAGGTTTCAGTCAAGGTAGCTACGAGTCTGAAACGTGGTAGGATTATCCTGGGAGCGAGCTAGCCAGACCCGTCCGAATAGCTAGCGGGATACGGGGGCTATCTTTCTTCAAGGCCAGTCCGTTTTAACGGACGATCCTGCGATAAGTTTTCTTTTACTTTCTGTTATTTCATTTTAATTTATTCTAATTATTATTGTTTTTCATTCCTTGCATTTGGTGGTTTGTCTGGTGATTTGATTTAAACTCGGGATTTTTATCTGGTTAAACTCGCTTTTTAATATCAATTTGTCTAACATTGAGTGCATCAATTTATCCCCCATCCTGTTAAGCTTTGCTAACTTTATTTTTGCAACTGTCTCCAACAAGTTGTCATTTCCTTTAAAAGTATTAAGTGTGTGGGTAAACTATATGATCTGCACAAATCTTAATTGCATAATTTTTACTTTATATTTCACATGCAAGCCAATTTCAGCCACATTTTATGGGAGGTACTAGTTAATACTCTATATCATTTTCCTTTATCTAATATTTGTATCTAAATTCATCACTCATGAATATAATGTAATACTTTATTTTATATTCTAAAATTAGAACATTTCATTTTTAAGTGTATTATGTTATGTCTTTTAACTAATTATGTATGTGGGTATTTCTAATATTTTTGTAAAAAAATTATTTATATTTAATGTTTTTATAATCACTTTTCTAATTTTAATTTATACTCGTAACTTACAACTGTTAATTCGATTTGCATTTAATCATCGGTTATTATTAACTATTGAGATATTAAACAATGCTTAATTAATAGTGACAATAAGTTTTCACTTCTTTCACTTCTACATAAATTTCTATTTGAATCTCCACTATATTCTGTTATAAAGATTCTTCTTTATCGTAATCTTAATACATATTTTACCTAGATGATAAGACACCACATACTACGTACTCCCTCCGTCCCCCTAAGTTTAGGACGGAGGGGTGTGGTGTGGTTTTTAAGAAAAAATGGAATTGTGTGGTTGGTATTGAATTGATAAAATGTAAATAAAGTAAGAATGAATTCTAACCACTCAAATGTTACCAAATATGGTATGGGACAAACTTAGTGGGACGGACGAAAAAGGTAAAACGGGACAAACTTAAGAGGACGGAGGGAGTATAATTTTGGATAATGTAGGCTTCCTGTTGAAATAATTGGACATTATGAGGGGCTAAGTGAAGGAATAAAATAAAATCTCTTTAGAAAAGTAGAATACTAACCTCCGAGAAACTACTAACCGTTTTTTCAGTTGCATCACCACCAAAGAAAACAAAATACATTTCTACGCTTATTTCAGTTCCCTGTTAAAACTTCAATTTTCATTAGCTCCCAACAATGGCGACAATGGAGAACTTGATCGGGCTGGTAAATAGAATCCAACGAGCCTGCACTGTCTTGGGAGATCACGGCGGCGAAGGATCCCTCTGGGAAGCCCTTCCTTCGGTGGCCGTCGTCGGAGGGCAGGTTCATGCATCTCGTCCAATTTCCTTCACCGCCATTTTCACTTTATGCCTATTTTTCTCTCAATTTGTGAGTTCTGTTTGTTGTTGATTGATTAGAGCTCTGGCAAATCATCAGTCCTGGAAAGCGTTGTGGGGAGAGATTTTCTACCTCGTGGATCGGGTAATTATTATCTCCCGTCAAGCATTATACTTGTTGCCTCAGATTAGCCTGTTTCATGTTGTTCAAAATTCGAACTTTCAATTCAGAAATTATAGAGAAATGTTGAGGTCAGTTCAGACTGAGGGAACTGTCACCCGGCCAAGCCTGTTTGAGGGCCTTCCGGATTGATTTTTTTGATGAAAATTTATGAGTTTGTTCTTATTGATATGTAGAACATTCACACAAAATTCCAGATTAAAATTCAACCGGGAAGTTAGTGAAATAAATTGTTGAAAAACAGTGCGTTTTTTGTATTTACTTTTGCGCAGTGTGTTTCAATAATTTATTCAACTGAGTTCCACGTTGCATTTTAAACTGAATTTTTGAGGAGATAACCTACATTTCATGAAGAACATGCTCAAAAACGTTCGTTAAAAAATTATACCGAGAAGACCGTCAAATGGCATCGGCCGGATGGAGGTTCTGGTCAGTTCGGACTGACGGGAACATTACTCCAGATAGGATTCTCAATATATTATTCAGCTCATGCTCAATGAACATTTCTATTTAATTGTAATGCACATTCACTTATTATGGAGTACTATTTATACGTAGTATTAGAAACTATTACTACTACTAAGCCACTTAATATTGTGATTAATGTTGTGTATGGCTTCAATAAGTGATTCATTAACACTTTGGGATGCCATAAGTGTGAAGTTAATTTAACATTTGTTTGTTATTACTTACCCCTTTGGTCCTAAGATAAATACTCACTTTCTTTTTTCAATGTCCAAAAAGTCAAGTTTAGATTCATTTTCTGGTAATATTTGTTTAGTAAAATATCTACTCCTACAATTAGTACAATACCAGTCATTCACTTTCTCCATCATATTTTTAATGAGGGCATATTTGGATGGCCAACATCAAAGGTTATATTGCCTATAAAAAATGGTGACGTCAAATTAGCAACTTAATTTGGGGATGGGTGTTTTATTATTACTTATAGTTACTGTATTTACATTTTTACTTATGAACTGTGGATAAAACTTAATACATATTATTGTTTATTTTTGTTTTTTTATTAGGCATTGTTACAAGGAGACCATTGGTGCTGCAACTCCATAAGACTGAGGGTGGGGCAGAATATGCGGAGTTTCTTCATGCTCCTAAAAAGAGACTTACAGATTTTGGTAAGTAAAAACAGATGTGGACTTCATACATGTATTTATTTCTATAGTTATTTATATAAATTGTTACTTTTGGCGATGGTTTACTGGTTGTATATTTGTGAGGTTCATGTGGCTGAAGAAATCTTCTAATTTTTGTAAAGTATCCCTCAGATTTACAATGGGGCATGCCTTCATACATATATATTACATCTGTATGATTCAATTTGACCCTTGGTTTATTCAACTTTAAACTATTAATATTTATAGCTCTTTTGTGATAATGCAGCTGCTGTGCGACAAGAGATTTCAGATGAGACAGATCGCATTACTGGGAAAACCAAGCAAATATCAAATGTCCCAATTCACCTGAGCATCTATTCTCCTAATGGTTAGAACTCGTCTCTTTTTTTGTGCAGATTTTTTCGGAGTGCTGATGGTGTGCATATGTGGCTAATTGCGAGAAAAGCAAATCCGCCATATGCACCCTAGTTTGTTTCTTTATGCTTCTCTTACCTTCTTTTGGAGGCAGCAAAAAAATTTGTGAGTTGCACCCATGATGAGTAATCACTTATGTTTGGAGAGAAGTTCATCTTCATATGAAATTCTGCATACGGTTCATACGTAGATTGCCTTCTTGATTTTCCATAAAGATAGAAAGGGGTGAAATAAGCAATATCTAGCCTGTAGTATTTGGCCTTTAGAACATATTACATCTTAGAAGGTATATATTGTACGGGGTGATAGCTCATGCTTTTTCTCTAAAGGGTACTTCATTGTAACACTGGCTATCCTTTCCACCTTTACTAGATATCTTTTAAATCTTTCAATGGTGTATGTATTTGTTTTACCTTAAAAGCACATAATGTATCTCTCAATCTCCCATCTAGGATGCATCACCATGACATGAGGTGGGTGTTTTGTTTTGCAGTTGTAAATCTAACTCTTGTAGATCTTCCTGGGCTGACAAAGGTTGCTGTAGGTGAGCATTAGGTCGTAGATTTACTTAGTTTTCTTTGGGTTCATTGGGTTGACTGTGGTTGATTTCAGAACAAAGTAACATTGTCTTTAACATAATTTGCAGAGGGGCAACCAGAGAGTATTGTAGAAGATATTGAAATGATGGTGCGCTCTTATGTGGCAAAGGTAATGACAGTTTCTAGCTTCAGTAAGTATGTGACAATCTGGGGAAAGTATTTTTAGGGGAGTATGTAAGAGATGCAATGTATTTTCGTTGATTTCACTTTATGGGAAGAAATTGATAGAGAAAATGTTTACGTAAGAAGTGCAACATTCCTATATTGAAATGCTTTAGTGTAGCATTACCTTGTAGGTTTAGGCCCAAGAACCTTGTGAAATGTTGTGAATAACTAAGTAAAAAATTATGAGTTGGTGTCTCCACTCTCCAATAACACTGATATGAAGAATAAATGTTTTTTTAACACAAAGAAATGAGAGGGAAAGCCAATAACGTGACTTGAGGCTTTGCATTTGAACTATATTTATTACTCCTTATTTAGAAGGGCTTAGCACAAAGTGTTGTTTGTTAGTATTTGATTAAATATTGAATGCACCATGTGTTAGCTTTACTTAGCACAATATTTTTTGCAACATTTTCATTGGCATGGTAGTGTAGAACGTATCCAAGTTAAAAAAAAATTGTCAAGACTTACTTGCATATGCACATATTCGAATACTAAATAATACATTGTCCTTTACTTCTTTCTTCCATTGGAGGATAATTACAAATTGTCTAAAAATATATCTCCTTCATGCATTTCTCTCTCCCTAGCCCAATTGCATCATTTTGGCTATTTCTCCAGCCAACCAAGACATTGCAACTTCTGATGCTATAAAACTTGCAAGAGAAGTTGATCCTTCAGGTACAATATCTTTCCTTAATGAGATGTTTATTCTCTTTTTCATATTTATGTCATTCTGAATTTCCCTTTAGTCTATTATTTCTTTTAAATTCTGACCTTAGTGTTTTCTTTATCCAGGAGAAAGGACATTTGGAGTGTTAACTAAACTAGATCTGATGGATCAAGGAACAAATGCCTTGGATGTATGATATGTAGTCCTTTCAAGGCTAATTTATTTTGTTTCAAACTAGCAATATTTGCTCTCATTTGTCCTTTAATTATCTCTTTTTTCTATCTCGTTTTCTGTAAGGTGCTTGAAGGTAGGTCATACAGGCTCCAACATCCGTGGGTTGGAATTGTGAATCGTTCACAGGCTGACATTAATAAGAATGTTGACATGATGTATGCCCGTCGTAAGGAACAAGAGTATTTTGAGTCCAGCCCTGAATATGGACATCTAGCTCATAAAATGGGTTCTGAGTATCTGGCAAAACTTCTCTCACAGGTTTTCTCCTAAATGTGTAACTTTTTATTAAAGTTCTATTTTGAGGTCATGTACAACACTCCCTGTCTTCCTCTTTACCAAGACACCTTTGAGTTTTTGTGGTAAATATTTTAACTTTGGCCAATAATATTTTTTTATGTAAAAAAATTATAGCATGAAGTCAATATAAAAAATGTTACAGTATTTGTTTAGCTTACTCTCATAAAAGTACACATTTTATAATCATTTCCAAATATACTTTTATCATCTAAAACATTGATCAAAGTTCATTTTGACCACAAAAAGACAAATGTCATCTAATAAAGAGGGATGGATGGAGTAATATTTTCAAAAGTACTCATAATGGCTTTTACTCATGATCATGTTTAGCATTTGGAGGTTGTCATTAGGCAGCGCATACCGGGTATCATTGCACTAATAAATAAGACCATAGATGAGCTTAATGCGGAGTTGGATCGTATTGGACGGCCTGTTGGTGTAGATGGAGGGGTAATGGTCACAAAATCCAGAATTTGAGTTCTACGCCTAAGAGAAAGCCCAATATTGATCTTTTCTTTTTATTTGCAGGCACAGCTGTATACAATATTGCAAATGTGCCGTGCATTTGATCGCATATTTCGAGAACATCTTGATGGAGGGTAATTACATATTTTCATCCATTTTTCCTGAAAGTTGAAAATCATTTTGACAGCACTTTTGCAAATGTATTGTTTTTGTGTACAAGAACTTGGTGTTAAAAAAACCTCAAGATATATTGTTACAGTTCTATCTCAACTTCAAACCAAAATGATCTTTCTGAATGTTATGCAATGACCACAAAGTATGACGGCCCATTTGGTTATTGTGATTTGATGTTCAAGTATGTGATGAGCATCAATCTTTGTCTCAGGAGGCCAGGTGGTGATAGGATATATGCTGTCTTTGATCATCAGCTCCCCTCTGCCATGAAAAAGCTTCCTCTGGATCGCCACCTTTCGTTGAATAATGTCAAGAAAGTCATTTCTGAGGCAGACGGTTATCAGCCTCACCTGATTGCACCTGAACAAGGATACAGGAGATTGATTGATGGATCCCTTGGATACTTCAAGGGTCCTGCTGAAGCTTCTGTTGATGCGGTGGGATCAACATTCTTTCATATTGTTGCTTATATTCTTATCCTATATGGTTTATATGCAAATATGATGGTTTCATTACATAATGGATGGTTAATATTAGGTGAAAGTTCAATTATCTAGTTTTTTTAAGAGACTTTAATTTCTTTACCATTTGTTTATTTATTTAAGGTGCACATCATATTGAAAGAATTGGTGAGGAAGTCCATTGCCCAGACAGAGGTAGGTTTAACACTTCTGTTAAGCATTCTTCTTTTAGTATGGCCTACATATGTGAAAGTCATTTGCATTTCTATTCATGAGTTTGTCTTTCAAATGGTGTCTTGTTTTTCATTTGAAGAGAAAGAAATAAAAACAATAGGTAGATTATGATTGAAATTAATTTCTTGATATTAGTGATAGCTTTATATCTATAACAAAATGGTCATGTAGGAATTGAAGCGATTCCCAACACTTCAATCTGATATAGCTGCTGCTGCAAATGATGCACTTGAGAGATTTCGTGATGAAAGTCGCAAGACGGTTACGAGACTGGTGGAAATGGAATCTTCATACCTGACTGTGGAGTTTTTCAGGAAGCTTCAGACAGAGCCAGAGAAAAATGCAAACACAAACCAAAATAGTTCAAATACAGACCGCTACACTGATCATCATCTCAGAAGAATTGGTGAGTTGGCGTTCAAACCATAATTCATTTTTTAGAATTACAAAAATTATACGGAGTAGTTTACATTGAATGCATCATTGTTGATAAAATGCCACTCTAACCCTGGCTTATCTGAGCGAAGGTTCCTCTGTCTAAAAAATAGGGTGGTTATCTAAGAACTTAAGACATTGGAGATGTGAACTCATATTTGGATGTGCAAAGCTAAAAGTTCCCCTTTTCATTAAGTTATTCTTCCGAAGGTGGAATCTCCAACCCTACACTCTAGCTTGCAAGATGGAGTAGGTGCGTGAGATAAAATCACAATGACTTAGTTGGATCAAAGGCTAGACTTGTACCATAGCGACACAGAGATCCACCAATTTGCTTTAATTAACTCTCATTCTGTTGCTGATAAAATTCAATTCTTCCAACTTTTCACTCTTTGAAGTAACTAAGCTACATATATGGGCTTATGCCCCCAGTGATTCCCTTACTAGAAGCTAGGTCACAGTTCTAGGTCTCGGTATGGTATACACTTGATGCTTCTTACAACCCTTTTATATGGTATATTCAATATAAGGAAACTTTTTGTTTGCACACATCATGTGTACACCCCCCCAATAGTCTATGTACACAAGCAATTCGTAAAAGAATCAATTTTTTTTAAAGAAAACGTATGGATTGTCTGTAGCGTGTAAAAAGGTGTGTACATGCCGAGAGCTAATCCTCAAACCTGATGCTTTTATATCAGAAACTTTGTTATCACGATAAAATACCATTTTCTCTAAATGTGTTTTCTTGACTGGCGCAGGATCAAATGTCACTGCATATGTTGGCATGGTATGCGACACATTAAAGGTTACTATTCCCAAGGCAGTTGTTTATTGCCAAGTTCGAGAGGCTAAGAGAGCACTGTTAAACAGGTTCTACTCTGAAGTTGGAAGGAGAGAGGTAAAACACACGCGGTCTAGCTAGATTAAATGCAGATGCAGATGACTCTTTGTGCAATATTTAAACATTAAAAAAACATTCATCATCAGAACAACTTGAGTTGATGCTTTTGAATACATCAATCCAAAAAGAAGCAAATTGATGTGTTTCAAAAGGGTAAAGAAGTGATTTTTTTTTTATTTGTGTTCAGAAGGAGCAATTGGGGAAAATGCTGGATGAAGATCCTTCACTAATGGCAAAGAGGGAGGCCATAGCCAAGAGGCTGGAGCTGTACAAGTCTGCTAGAGATGAGATTGACTCTGTTGCCTGGAAATGAAAAACTGGCCAAATTCTTCCAATCTTCTCCCTTACATCTGTCTAGTTAATTGATTAGTTCACACATATATAGCATTCTCATTATTTGATTTATAGTTCGAGTATGCTAAATCATACTTCTTATTCTTTTTCCACACAAAAATAATAATAGATCGAAATGCCCCTGATGTAAACATGTTAACATGTATTCTTATTGCCAGTTTACTTTTGTAATTTTGTTCTTCCATTTTGCTTGTTTCGTTTGATTCTTTAGTGGACTAAGTGCAAATCTATATGATATTTCAAAAAAAATGAAAAATGAACTCTAATCCGTGACTCTGTGAGGGCGATTTAACCGTGGATTGAAAGGTTAAATTGGTTATCTGATATCTGAGAACATCTCATGCTGAAGTGTTGAACATGGTCACCCTCTAGGTTAGTTGCTACTTGTCCAGAATCAAACTCGGGAAAAAAAGTTCTAGTAGCACATCTTATAAACTAATTGAGGGGTACTAATTGTCATGGGGCTTGTATGTAGTCTAAAGCAGGGATGTTTAGAACACGGAAATTTTTAGGAGGTTTTCTTTTACTACTAAATATGTATTAATGACTCTGCATAGTACATGGATTGGGATCAACATTGAATAAATCTTTTCAGACATTCTTGGAAGGAGAACGGGCCACCAGATACTTGACAGACAAGCAAAGAAACAAGCTTTTGGATGGTGCCGCCTTCAAAATCACCGACTGTAACCATGAGCTAGCTTCAGACCTTGTCAATGTGATGAGCATATGTTGACACACTTCCTTTTCTTAATTACGTAGTAACTTATAAGAATATAGCAAATTCTTTCCCCCTTTACTCCCCATTTTACCTCAATTAGAAATCTTTCTTTAGGATATCAATCTTGTGATCTCAGGCTAGGAAAACAGAGTCTTCACTTCAGTTTCATAAATTTAGTCACTCAATTGTTATCTGACGTGCACTTTGTCGTGATGTGCACTCAAAATAATAATACAATACATCACTTATACGTAGTATAACGTAGTAGAGTTCGTATCCACCGGGAAAGGAATAATTCTCTTTTTATAGAACTAGTAAATAAAAGGGGGGTTTAGGATTGAATGATTTAATTTAATTAAACAGAAAGATGAACAACTTAAATGTGATTTAATTTAAAGATAAAAAGGACTTGGCATTGCTACTTTCCACTTGTTGATATATTTTAGTCGATCATTGTTATATCTATAACTTATCCCCTCTCAAATACTCAATCGAGGAGTATATCCAATTCATCGAGAGTAGTTATTAACAACGACCGTTCATTAATAACCCTTACTATTAGTCAAGTATAGAACACCGCCATATACCGACTTAATAGTAGCATTTAATCTCTTAACTCTTTGATGAAATCAATTGAGATTGATAACCTCAACACAACGGTTTCGGTTTAACCAACAAAATTAATCCCTCTTAAATTTATTAACCACGACCGTGCATTAATAAACCGAAGTTACTTACTTGTGAAACCATCAACAATTAACCATCGGTTCGTTGATCGTTTCTAGTAGTAATTAATGTCGAGATGTTAACTAATTGTCATCTTAGCAACACTCCCCAACATTAATATAGAGATAGATTAAGGGAAGAATTAATATTCAAGGTAGAAGATTAAATATGAATAATCCTACTATAACTAATGTCAAGATGTTATCTAATTGTCATCTTAGCAACACTCCCCAACATTAATATATAGAGGAAGAAAATAAATATTACTATAACTAATGTCGAGATGTTAACTAATTGTCATCTTAGCAACACTCCCCAACATTAATATATAGATAGATTAAAAGAATAATTAATATTCAAGGGAAGAAGTTAAGAAAATAACTCACAACTTTAATAATCAACAAGCTTCAAGAGCAACACCAACAAATGGAAGTTTAGCTCCTCATTTGGAGACTAAACATGCTATAAAATATAAAAGAAATACTATTCTAAACTGAGCTTAAGAGTATGGAAGAAGGGATGATTTTATTGTGAAGGAAAAGGGGTGTATTTATAGGTGTTTGGAGGTGGCAGGGTTGTGTACCCGATCGGGTATATAGGGTACCCGATCGGGTATTTTAGGCAGTTTCCCGCAAAATCACTTTTCTAGACATATCCGGTCGGGTATGTAGGCATACCCGGTCAGGTATGAGCCAAAAAGTCAAAATCTTGCACGTTCTTTTGTCTCTCCAGATTCTGATTTTGACACCCGAATGAACTCAATACCCGATCGGGTATTGCCTATACCCGACCGGGTATATGAAATATTTTTTCAATCTTCTTTTTATCTTGTCCCCTTGCACTTTCCTTGATCTTGTGGGGTCCAAACTTGATCCTTTGGATGATCTTGACCTGTTTTAAGCTCAGAATAATCCTAATCTAAATAAATTACAAATAATTAATGAAAATAAAGTATTACACCAAAAGTGTGCAATTTCCACAACTAGAACTAATAAAACTAGTTAAAAATACAAACATACATAATAGGAAATTCACACCATCATTATCGTTTAAAAGTCAGTTAGTACATGATTTAGTTATTTACTCCCTCCATTATTATATCTTACAAAGGATAATTTTATCCTCCCAAAACATATTTGGGTCCAGATCACACAGTTAAGGACTAAATTGAGTTCTAAATTTTGTGAATCACCAAAAATACATCCTTATATAGAGCCAAATGTTTGAGAACTAAACTGTGTCAAAATTGTATAGCAGAGAACCAAATATAGTCACCCAAAAAGTTGTCCAATTTGAGTAAAATCGCTTATATTAGAGGGACTAATAGGCTCATGTTCATGCTTTCATTGCCCAGATTCACACTCTTTGATATGATTTTGGAAATTCTGCTTTTGTCATTCTATCTCCCATCTTTGTGTTTATCAACAGGAATATGCACACAACCTTTCTTCCATGGGGATGGATGCTGCTAGTATGAAGTATCCCTTCACACCGTTCTTTATGAAAGTGATTCATGATTAAGAATTTGCTGCAAATAATACTTCGTATATAATATGCATCATGCATACAACAGAAATGTTATTTTGTTATAAAATGGGACTTCAAGTCTTCAACCTTCATATTATAAAGGCTTTGTTTGGGAATCAACTATTAGATTTAACAGTCTGTTGGTTATGTCAATTATTTGATAATAAGTGATTTCATTAATTGTTTTGATTGACAGATTATGTTAATTTATTGTTAACAAATATTTGGTTAAATTAGTTGTTACGTTGGAAAACAATTGTTTAAGTGCAAAAGACATATAAAGACATAAGTATATGTTTAAAAGTGTTTGGGTGATGCAAATAGTGATAAAGTTATAATTACATTTATTTAATTTAATAAAAACATTCTTTTATTTGAAATTTAAAAAGAATACATTAGTTCCAACTTCAATAAAATACTCCGTAAATATTAACAAACAACTCCTCTCGATTGCAATATGATAAGTTTATATTGCAAGCAAAGTTAGTAACATCAATAGTTCCAACTTCAATAAAATAGTCCGTAAATATTAACAAACAACTCCTCTCGATTGCAATATGATAAATTTATATTGCAAGCAAAGTTAGTAACATCAAACATAAAGAAGTACTAACACGCTTGGTTTAGTTTAAAACAAAATTAAAAAGCACACAGTGATTTATGAATTTGTGTAGCTTCCATCAAGTTAGAAGGTACATTATTACAGAAATTGACTTAGGATGTTTGGCCCCTCCCAATCTGTTAAATCATACTCCGTACTCTCTATTCTTAAAATTTGACCAAATTTGACTTATATGGAAAATGATAAAATAAAAATTATGTAATTAAAGTTTGTGTATAGGAGAGATTAATAATTAGAAACACAAATCAATTGATTAAAAGAAAATATGGAAAAGTTTTCGGGTCATAAAAGAGAAAGGGAATATGTGAATAAAAGATCACAAGCAAAGACCGCTAATTAGTGGTGGACCCGGTTCGGGCCGCCCGGCCCGGGACCGGCCCGGCCCGTTACTGTACGGGCCCGGAACCGGCCCGGTTCTCGGGTCCGGGTCCGGTTCGGGCACCGAACCGGTGGGTGTGGCGGGTCCGGGCTCGGGTGTTGGTTTTGGTGGCCCGGCCCGGGCCTAACGGTCCTATTTTAAAAATAAAAAAAATTCTTTTGATTTTAAAAACCCTTTTTGGCTCAGCAGCCACTTCCCAAACGGCTATATAGCCGTTGGGTGGGTACCAGGGGGGTCCGGGGCCTTTGGGTGGGTGGGGGGTGGGGGGTGGGGGTGGGGGTTAAAAAAACCTATAAATACTCCTAATTTTAAACATTTTTTCACACCTCTTCTCCAACTCTACCTAAATCCTACTCTCTACTCATCTCCAATTCTCCATATTCATCTTCTCAAATTCTCTTATTCTCCTTTATATTTTATTTTACTATTTAATACTTATACAATTATTATATCTACTTATATATTAATTATCTACTTATAAATACATATACTATATTACTTATATTTCTTATCTACTTAATCTCTACTTATATCTCTTAATACATACATACTACATTACTACATCTACTTAATATATACTTTATATAATAAAGTATTAAATATACTTTGTAAACTATTACTATATACTTAATACATAATAATATCTACTTCTCTACTTATATTTTATATATACTTATTTTCTTATTTTCCAATCTCCAATTCTCCATTATACTCTAATATTTAATTCTTATACAATTATTATATCCACTTAATACATACATTCTACATCTACTTAATATATACTTTATATATTAAAGTATAAAATATAAGTGTATTACTCATCTTATAGTAGTATACTTATATATTATATACTCTAAACATTATATTATATATTACTTACTATAACTAGTATTATACTAGTTAATTAGTTAATTAGCATTCTTGTTACATTTTTCATTATACTAGTTAATTAGTTCATTACCATTATTGTTAAATTTTTCATTATACTAGTTAATTAGTTTATTAGCATTCTTGTTACATTTGTCATTATACTAGTTAATTAGTTAATTAGCATTGTTGTTACATTTTTCATTATACTAGTTATTTACTTCATTAGTATTCTCATTAATTGTTAAAACAACTCTACTTCAATAAACTAGTTAATTGTCATTATAGTTAAAGTCACATTTTCTTATTTTCAAT